GCCTCACTGGTTTCTATCTTTGCATGAAATTCATATGTTTGTTTTTATTATGTTTTGATGGATACTAACATTGTTAACATGCTTCTGAGGTGTAACTATGCAGGATAGACCCATCGCATGAGTCCCATAACGATTGAATCATGTATTTCCATGTTTGAACCGATTGACCTTGTTTACTTTGTATCTTATCATACAGGGGGAATTAGCCAAAACCAAGGCCACCATTGAACTCGCAAGGGCCAAATGAGGGGGTAGGGTTCTTTTGGATCACTAAAACTCTTTATTTTAAAGGTACAAAAAACGAAGTTTCCGAAGAAGATGATCGGAGCTAGGGCTTCGGCGCCTCTCCGGCCCAATAAGTTTTCTTATTTTATATTTAATTGATTCCATTGATATACTAGATGAAACAGCCACCCCAGTGGCAAGGAAACACGCGTTAAGGCATTGGTACATCAGGGTATGGGTTCGATCCCTGACTTTTGATGTTTTTTCATATTTTTTCAATCTTTGCAGGTTTATTACATTTTGAGTTGCATCCATTCTCTAGACACCGACGCACGCCTGGCGCAGTGGCAAGTCATGTTGTTGTGAAGGCAAAGGGCGTGGATTCAACACCCACCCCTGACATTTTTCCTTTTTTTGGGTTTCTAACCCTTATTTCTTTGATTTTTCTTCCTATTTATTTTTTGGATAACCCTAATTCTTTTTTTATTAACCATTAACAAAACCTTTTTTCTTTAACCATAAAAATAATTAGATTTAAGATTTATTAACTTTTTAATCAATTAATTAACCATCTTTTTTTTAATTAAAATTAATTAAACTTTATTTAATTAGTCATCATCATAAATCATTTTTATTCGCAAAAAGCCCTTACAAACATTCACACCACTTTTTCCTTATTTCTTTTTCTTTCATTTGTATTTACATTTCCTAGATCAAGTGTATAGGACGTATTCAACTGTAGTAGCGTAGTTTTATCTTTTTTCGCATTTTTCTATTATATAATTGCTTCGAGTATGTAATAGCTTAGGGTTTACTTTTCCGCATTCCCATTATTATGTAACTGTCCCAAAGCCTTGTAATAGTTTTAGGTTTACATTTTCGCGTTTATCTCCTGCTACTATATTTTCTATGCAACTGCTAGTAATTAGAATTTATATGGCAAGATAAAATCAACCGATAGCAAAAGACTAATTTCAAGATAAAGAACTGAAACAAACACACTTACGCACTTACACCTCTAGGGCAGCCTCTCTTCGTTGCCTTTCGAAATAACAATCATGTCCCTCGAAAGTGGAGAATGCTTTAGCAAAAGACCCTTGATATAAAAGATCATAGTTCCTAGATGACCCTTCGATGTTTCCTACGGAAAAATGATCTAGTCCCTTACGAGACTGCTAAAACATCCTTACAAGTTACCTTCGATGATCGTACGATGACCATTCACTTGTCCCTTCACATCCAAAAGATAAGACTACCTACTAACTAATAGTACGGATATCACTATCTCTAAAGGACAAGAACGACCTTAAATGAGTAGGATATTTTCAATCGCTTGCTCACAAACTTTTCAAAACAAAACACTTCTCACATCACACTTTCAAACAACAAATATTTTCAAAATGCTTTGTATACATTCTTGAGGACTGATACAAGAATCATTACAAAGTTCGTCTTACATTGACATTTTCAAAATATTTTAAAACGCACACAAAAAGCAAATTTTTAAAGTGAGTTAAGCGATTAAGACCCCGTAGATAACTATGGATGAAAAGGGTGCTAACACCTTCCTTTTTCATAACTTACCCCCCCGAACTCAAAATCTATCAAAGGTCTTTCATGTTCTTTTCACCTTTCTTAAATATTGAATAAAAGAAAAGTCGGTGACGACTCTTGCTATCCGCAATATTTTCGATAAAACGCAAAACAAGTCAGTTCTCCCATTGTATTACAGTCGACCTAAAAAGGCTTATGTGTCGATCTATGAGAAATAAAGGCTATAACTTTTAATATTGACACAGATGTGTCGGCCTGAAAATTTTATGTGCCAACACATTAAACAGAAACTTATAGTATGCGTCGGCCTGAAAACCAAATGTGTCGACATGTACCAAACAAAAGCTACAGACTTGATTATTGAGTTACATGTGTCAGCCTGAAAAATCGTATGTGTCGACACATGCAGGTGATTTTTGCGCAGAAAATAAATTTTATTATTTTTGACCTATTTCCAAGTGGTTTTGAATGATTCCTAAGCCTCTAATGCAAGAGTGCATCATATGACATAGAGGTATCGTTCAATATATAAAAATGTCAAACTTTTTTAATTTTGACATCATAAAAAACATTTAATGATGAAGTTGCATTCACATCGCAAACACCCTTGAAGGCCCATTAGTTAAGGTTGCAATGGAGGAATTATGAGAATGTCACAAAATAAGTCATGCAACTATGCAAGCCAAATTGTTCAATGAAAGAAGTAGAAGAAGAATAAAATTGGATTGATGAAGGTGTTGACAAGAATTCAAAAAATTTATATACAAGTGTGAATAATACTTCAACAAAAAATTTAATGATAGTGACAAAGAATCAACACAATTTGCCATGCGGGTAAAAGTGTTTATGAGGTTATATTAATGGATAATACATATTTGACACAAGGTAAAGTCAATATATAGCATCTTGACACAGGTTGTAATAATTATATGACAAGCCACAAAGACTGATTTATCGACTTGAGAAATCAGTGAGGTCAATAAAATTTGCAGATAACAACACGATTACATTTGAGTCTGTAGAAAACATTTTTTTTAAGAGGAAGGATGGCAAGCAATCATAAATAATGTGTTATATGTTCCTTCAATGACAAGTAACATAATAAGTTTGAGTCGATTGCTTGACAAGAACTATACAACAAAGTTATAAGATAAAGGGTTGAAGGTGTTTAATGCAAGTCCCAAACTAATCTTGAAGGCGTCTTTGTCAAACAACAAAACATTCAAAATCATGATTACATGTTTGAGCATTAATGTGTTACATCAACCACAACTGAGGAGTAAAATTGACTTTGACAACACAAATATGGTCATCTAAATTTTAGAAGTCTTAACCTAATGCACATGAAGAAAATGGTGTCTAGACTTCCTCGAATAAAAATGTCAAAGCAGTTGTGTAAAGATGGTGACTTGATTGAAGAAGTCATGACTACTGAATGTGAGTCAACAAACCTCCATCAAGCCCCAAAAGATGAAAATTGACAAGAACTTGTGAAAGAAGAACTCAAAAAAATTAAGAATCGCACATGAGATTTGGTCTATCATTCAATCAAGAGGGTCATAGATAGCTGAAGCTCAAGTCAAATGGTGAGATAATTAAGTATAAAACAATGCTAGTAAAAAATAGGTTCCTTCAAAGGTCTGGAGTTGACTTTAATAAGGTATATGCAATTGTCAAACTTGAAATAATAAATATTATGGTGGTCATTGCAGAATTAAAAAAAGGTATAAGATGCATCAGGTGGATGTGAAGTCGACTTTCTCAATGGACCACAAGATGAAGATGTCTATGTCAAGCAATTGAAAGATTTTCATATCAAAGTGAAAGAAGAAAAGTATAACATAATTGTATGGATTGAAGCAAACATCTAGAAGAATGAACAAGAGAATTGTTAAGAATGAACAAGAGAATTAACAATTTTTTAATAAAGCTATGACTCAACCAATACACATCATAGCATAGAGTATATGTGAAAGGCTCAAGAGAACAAGATCAAATCATTATATGCTTGTATGTGGATGATCTTTAGATAACAAGATCAAATGATACTGAAATGACGAAGTTCAAGACGAATATAAAGAATGAATTTGAAATGTCAAATCTAAGAGACTTTGCCTATTTTCTAGATATGGTGTTTGTAAACACAGAATATGATGTTTTCTTACACCATATGAAATATGGAGAAGATGTTTTGAAGAAATTCAAGATGAGAAATTGCAACCCTACAACTAGTGATATGGAAATAGGAATCAAATTTAAGGACTCAAATGATGAATTGGTATTGGTAGATGAAACGTTGTACAAGAAGATCATTGATTCACTAAGATACCTATGCAACACTAAACCTGATATTTGCCATAGTATGGCCTTGGTAAGCATATTCATGGAAGAACCAAGATCATATCATTTACTTGCAGCTAAAATAATAGGTATTTGCCATAGTTTGTGATTGGTAAGCATATTCATGGAGGAACCAAGACCATATCATTTACATTGCTGCTAAAATAATCAAAGGCACTCACACCAATAGCATAGCTAGAATCTAGATTAAAATATAATAGAGTCATATTCTTGTTTAAGAGCGGCCTAAAAAGACAGAAACCAATTTAATAGTAGTTTGCTCCATTAAAGATGATAGGGATGATTTTAGTGATTCTCACATACAACACCAATGATCTATAAATCCAACTAAACTATGCAAATGACTCGTGAAATGTTATCCATTTCCAAGTGATGTTCATGATGGTGCACAGTGGCAATGCCTGAAAAGTCACTAAAAGTGACACTGGAGTTACATTTAAAGCAACAGTGTGCATATGGTGTCTTGTTTTCTTTTAGATATCTTGCAACTAACTCTTGTATTGTTGACATATGAACATAATATATCAATATAGGTAAGAAAGGGATATTGTGAAAGCTTCTAAAAATGGATCTTGGAACAAAATGAAAGAGGCGCTACTTTTCCCCACGGCCGTCTTAAGAAAGAAACCGAAATGAATTAGAATCTGTGTTAGTCTCTACAAAAGGTAACCATCACATCATTTTGAAGTGAAAGAGTGAGACTATAGTAATATTATTCACAATATGAAGGTAACTGATTGACTAGTCAAGCCGTGTGATATACCTATGTACCCCCAAACAAACCACTAATGGCACCTCCTCCTCTCCTGAAGGAAGAACTGGAAAGTAAAATGAAATGCAACTTGCCATCCATCCATCTATCAGCTTACTTGTGCAGTTTGAATGAAAGCTTGAAGCAAACTCTGAGCTGCAAACGTTTGATCGGGTGTTCCAGATATCACAACCTTCCCTCCGCTTGTACCAACGCTAGGATCATATACAGTTACATTCGCACCTGAAATCTGCTTCCACAAACAACAACACTAGACCACATTAAAACCATTAGCACTCCAAAAACCAGGTTGATCAAATGATTCAAATCACACCAAATAATCAGAATAAAGCATAAGATGGTCGGTCCAACCACGAGTCACAGCATATATTAATAATTTATCTTTGGCAAGGATAATCATGCACCTGTCTGATTTGATCTAAATTCCCGCCATCTTCTCCATAAACAGAAGCAAAGACATGTTCTGAGACTATAATCTCCACGGTAGTGTTTGTCACAGTGGCAAGCATGTTTCCTCTGCCAAAAGATTTCATCAAAGTATGAATGTCAAAAGATCAATCAACATCAATACGTATTTTAAATATACGGTTAATAAATTGTTGAGTAAAAAACATGTTGAGATAATCTCTGCCAAAAGATTTCATCAAACTATGAATGTCAAAAGATCAATCAGCATCAATACGTATTTTCAGTACGTTTCATAGAATCTTGTGTTTAAAAAACATGTTAATAAATCTTGTTTTATTCCCACCCTTACTCTATTTCTACCTATACTATACTGTTCATGTGCCTTTTTATGTCATTTCGTATACCCAACTCCCAAGTCACAAATAATATTCATTTTTTAATTCTAAGATCACTACTACAAAAAACATAGAAGCTATTCAAACAGAAATTTTAAGGACAACAAAAAAACCTCGCAGGATAGGAACAAAAAAAGGGAAAAGGAGAGAACGACAGCAGATGCGTGTATTCCCAGCTTGATTATACTGACCTGTCACGATTCAAATTATCCCCATTTTCTGTGGTAGTTTTGGCATGCATCCCTGCATTCTGCAAATATACGAAATTCTTAACAAAAATTGCGCTAAGAAGGAAAATGTAAGGCAAGTGAAGAATACCTGTGGTGGAAACCTCCCAAAAGGAAAAGCAGATTTTCTGCGGGAAATGAACTTGCTCCTAACAATATCCTTATTTACTTGGAAACTTGATTTCATTCTTGCTTCAGCAAGCACCTCATTGGGCAAGGAATTACCCCTAATTCTAGAAGTGAAATTACGTAAAGCATTTTCTACACATTTGTATCCACCAGTGATCTGCATGAAATCTATCTCTCTTAAGTACAAACATGACTAGCAGAAATAAACAAGATTGTTGAAGCCATAAGAAATAAACTCAGGCTCTGGCATAAGCACTTCTGAGAATCGTTTGGGGGAGAGTTTATGAAAATATCTTATATCTCCATAAGTTGTTTTCAACTTGCTTTCATAAGCTCTCCAAGTTGTCGTATGTGGTTGAGTGGCCACATACACGCATGCAGACACGAAGGGGGAGGGGGTGAAAACCTAGGAACGAACCCAAGCACCCACATGTCTTGGAAGCCAGCTACTACGCTGCAACACCAAGGACGCTTATAGCTTATATGAAAACATTTTGATTTTATTTGATCTTTTGTTATAGAAATAGCTTCCACGTAAGCACTTATATGATAAACACTTTTGATATAAACACTTAGTTAAGTTGTTTATCCAAACAACCAGTTAAGTCTATTCTAAGCACACCAATGGCTCAGTAGTCAACACGATACAACAGAATAACATATTTGTTATCACTTACAGTCTTGACTATGCTGGCAAGTGGCAACAAAAGCATTACTTTCCACCAAGAACTAAGCAGATAGAATAAGGATCAAAAAGACGATATAAAAAAGTTATACACAAATTGGGCAGAAGGTTCCTTAAACTAACAGATGATGATGACCGTTTGGTTGGATATAATATCCATTTCCTACTTCCTGTATTTTATTGAAAATATATTTGTATAACTTTGGTAGGACTACTAATTCTACTAGCCAAATAGAATTTAACTGTTTTCCATATTAAGGAACTTAAAATTGGAAATTAAGCAACAAAAAAAGTTAACCTTTTATCATGAAGGATATCAGCATATGGCAGTAAAATCAAGACCTAAAAAAACAGAGTTGTCTTGAACTATACAAGATACATAATTATACCTGGACAACCACATCATTATCTGAAGCACCGTTTGGAACTGGCACTCCATGCAGTATTTGAATGCCAGCCCCGCTGACTTCTCTCAATTCTGAAATCACTTGACCTTCATTACCAGTCAAGAAATTCACTATGCTCGGTGCAACTAAAAGCCTTGCAGTTACAGGTGATTCCGCACTAGAGGCTAGGTGAAATCCATTTCGAATGTGATCTTCAACAATTCTAGCAAAGACAAGAATAACAGCATCTTGTGCAGGAGAATTACTAGATTCAAGGTTCTGGATTAACAAAAGCCAGTTCGAGATCAATAATAGAAAATCACGGCAATTATGAGCATGTATAAAAATCATATGACTGACCTCAAAAGCAGAAATGGTGATGACGCGATCTTCAAACTGATTTAAAGGAGGTGCAAAGACAATAGAAGCACCAGTTTGGCATTCGAAAGTTCTGACTATAGACCCTTTTTTCCCAATCACACTACCAGCTACATTGTTAGAGCAAAGGAGTCTGAAAACAACTTCATGTCCAGTAGTGCCCTTCGAGTCGAGGCTAAAGTTACCGTTAGAGTTTATCATCTGTTTCGAAGTATCGTTTATAGATAAGCCTTCCATGGAAGGTAACCATGAATTAACATGAGGAAAAAGATCCTCATGTGGGTTACAAATCGGCCTATCCAAATAGCTAACAGTCGGTGTGTTTAGAGATACTTTGCTCATCGGTGGACAATCTTGAAGACAATGAGATACTGAAATCAGTCCTTTCTTCACAGCCAAACGTTCACCAGTTATCTGTCAATCAAACAAGTTCTCAGATAAAGAACAAGAATTTCAAATAGTCAATTATGTTTCATTCCGCTCCACTCTGTTCCATCAATCTAAACATAGCCTAAATCATATTCTTAATAACAATTAAATCCTATTAAACTATAAAAAAAGGTACATTACATCATATTCTATTAATAGCGCGCGCAGAGTATACGAGGTTTCTACTAAAAATAGTAATGGAAGTAATAATAAGCAGCAGCAAAGAAAAACTCACAAGAACTAACTCCTCATCTTTAGCAGCAGAATGTGGAGCAGGACAAACCCTAATTTTAGTACCAGTATTATTCCTAATAGTGCTTATATTCTTCCCTCCTTTTCCAACAACAGCACCAACCTGAGAAGAACGTGCCAACAATTTACCAAAAACTTCAACATCCATTCCTCTATTATTACTATTACTATTACTATTAACCCCTTTCTCAGTTTCAAGCTCCCAAATCCTCTCAAAAACCCTAACCACAGCTTCTTGTGCATTAGAAACCTGAAGTTCCCCATCACCCACTGCAAAACCCTTCCTCGGCAACAACGACCCAATTACCAAAATAACCCTATCATCAGTACCGTCAACAGCATCCTCACAGTGGATTTTACAACCAGTTTCTCGCCGGAGCTGCGAGACGATTGACCCTGAACTTCCGATCAATCCGCCGACCGTTGACGAGTGGCACACCAAACGAAACGCGATCTGACCTGGGAGGACTTTGAAAACGGGTCGCTTTGTTTTGGTGTTGCGTTTGTATGGTGACGGCGGCGGAGGTTGGTGGTGGTCAGTTTCAACGGCGGCGGAAGTGGGGTCTTGCATTGGGAAGTGGAAAGGTTCCAAGTTTGAAACTTTTATGATGGGTTTTAGTTTTTGTTGACGTTGGTGTTGATGGGTATGTGACGTTAAGGTATTTTCATGGCGAAAAGGAGATTTCGAAAGAGAGAAGAAATAGACAAACTCAATTATAAGTTAAATCCATATGTTTAGTTGTTTATTTTTCAACTTAATTTTTAAGTCAAACTTGTACTAAACTAGATCTTTTTATATGGCTTGTTCCATTAATTGTTCTCTTTAACTGCAATGCTATCTTGTGTCCATGGCACAAGTTAAAGAGGAATATATGATTAGTCTCATTTGCTTTATTTTGGAATATGTGATAACTAAGTAAAACTAAAATATTAAAATCACATTTAAAAAAATTATGACAAAAGTATCCTTTCATATTTTGGCTTCCAAAACATTTCACACTATCATAGCATATACTACATTCTACCAGTAGGATATTCATGCATTCTTTTTCTTTCCACCATAAAATTTAAGTTAAAAAAACACTTTCAACAAAGTGAAATCTTACTAAGTATTGGAATTTAAGAATATTTCTTACTCATGTACTATGTCGTATGTCTTTATACTTTTTTATGTTATTTGATAATTTCAACTTTTTATGTTATAGGAACATGATAAAAATAACTTTTTTGTTCTTGTTATTTTTAGATGATAAATAACATAATGGATAAGGATAATATTAGAAGTGTAGACAATAATAAACTTTTGATTTGAATATTGAATATTCACCGGAAAAAAATTTCAAAAAATGATTCTTCTACAATCATTCTTAATCATAATATTATAGAAGAGGTTGGGTGAAATTGAACTTTATGAAAAAAATATTGTAATTTTCAGTTACAATATTGAGATAAATGGATTTAAAAAAAATGGTGAAGGTGGAACTTGTAAGAGTCAAATACTATTTTTTTTTTTCAAATTTTTTAGTAAAGAATAAATAGTTGTATTTTATAAGAGATATGCATATCAACATGGCTTCTTAGTTCTGAAAGATAGATTTATCAAATAAAATAGAATTGTGAGCAAACGTGATTTCTTTTGGCATCGTAAAAGAAGAATTTTCTTGAAAATCATAGAGTTGTCTAAAGAATAAAGAATTTGAGAATCAACTAGGTGTGAATGTAAAGCTCATTTGTGAATTTATTCACATAAGACTTATGCTATATTTTCAAGTGAGTGGCAAGTTACAACGTTTGTTATTGAACATAATCATACTTTAATCATATTTTAGTCATACTTTAATCATACTTTGTTAACTCAAATGCACTTTTTTTACCAACTAACCATATTATCTCCAATGATTATTGTGAACGAATTTTCTTGTTAAATAAAGGTTGACTTTTAGTTAGACAATTAATGTGTGTCATATAGCTAGAAAAAATATGGAGCTTGGATATCGTTTTTATTATCCAAAAAAATACAGTTATGTATGTGTTCCCTCTACAAGGGCATGGAGACTCAGGGGCTCTAATAGGTGTCTTACACGAATAGGATGAGGGCTAGCTCATTGCGGCGAGTAGCCCCGTATGGTATTTTTTGATGTTGTTTAAGGGACCAACTCGCGTGAGGTGAGAGGTCTTGATGGTGACTTGTGTTGCTAGATTGCAGTCGGGTGGTTGGAGTGATGTTGTTAGGTTACTCGGAGCGAGTGCTCTTAGAGCGGTGTTTGAATGTGTGTAAGTAGTGTTACTTGAGAGTTGTCCCTTTCTCCTATGAAGGATGAGGTATTTATAGGAACTCATGTTTCCTAGGGTTTTCTTGGAAAAGGTCGTCACCCACTCAGTCAAAAGGTAGACCATTGATTTCCTATTCCCAATGGATACATAGATTAGTAACTATCTTGACTATCTCATTTTTCAAGAGATCTCTTATCCCAGATTTCTTCTCACGTGGGCGAGGAAAACACATGGGCGAGGTTGTACATCCCTTCAAACGACTTCATGTCGTCACCCTTTCCTAGGGCGGTCCCAAGTTGTTGCCCTAAGCAAGGTTATTTTCACATATAACATAACATAGTCTCTCAGACATGAGTCTTTTGGCAGAGGGCAAAGTGTCTTTTACCCTCGGTTAGCGGGAGTATCCTGAGGATTGGTGTTTGAAGAATGGAAAAACACAAGAAGGGGGGGTTTAATTGGAGTTTTTAAAAATTTAAAGTAAAAGACACGTTGGTTATCCTGGTTCGTTTGAACTCAAACTACTTCAGTCCACCCGCCAAGGTGATTTCGCATCTCTCAAGCAAAGTCTTAATCCACTAATCAAACTTGATTACACAATCACAATGACAAATGTCAACGTCTTCTTGAGTCTAAACCACAACCCGGTTTTCTCAAGGAATTACAAAGTACAATATTTGCAAGCGTGTACAATATGTGTTTTCTAACAAAATAGTATCACACAAGTGATGTTTTACACAAATGAATTTTTGTAAGATGAAGGTAATGAAGATATTTCATTTATAGTGCGCATCAAAACCATTAATGATTTCTCCTTTAAGTCTTGTATATATAGGCAACGCATGTGGGAGCTTTTGGAATATTGATAAATAGTAATTACAGAGCTTTCCAAATATAAAGATTCTTGTCCCCTTTCAGCCGTTACTTTTGAATAACCATAAGTGAAATGTAATGCTTTAGAACATGCTTGCTTCAGAAGATGAATGTTACCATTGGGACTCCTTTACTTCTTTCCAAAACTGTATGAATCAGAATAACAGAGTTCCTGTTTGCAGCGTTTAGTGCACTCAGAAGTTGTAGCTTGAGAACTTCTTTATATAAACGTGTTATGTAGATTACTTTCTATATAAGATGTATTGAATCATAATCAGAGTTTAAACAACGTTCTAACTCATCTTATGTTCTTCTTCCATTAGAACTTCTCTACAAAACAAAATACTTATTTAGGGAGCATAATTGTTCTTTGAGTGTTTGTTATCATCAAAACTCTTACAAGGATTGTAGAATCAAACTATGTTCTAACAATCTCCCCCTTTTTGATGATGACAGAAACTTGGATATTTTCATAGAAACTTAAAGAACATAAAGCATTTTAAAGTCCCCCCCTTAGTTGGATACTCAAATAGAGAAGAAACACTTCCCTGAAGATTGTTCTAATCAGAGTTTTGGACAAAAAGGATTTTTGATGCGCCCACTTCTGTCCTCAATAGATTTTGTTCTTGTTTTGCTTTCAGAAAAGAACAATAGAAGTTATGATACTCAAAATGTTTGAGACTGAGTCTCGATACTGTTATATTAAAAATATCTTATGTTCTCCCCCTTTTTTGTCAAGAATCAAAAAGCAATAAAAATGCTTTAGACAATAAAAGACATGTTGTATTAAAAAGATTCCAATAAAAGCACATTCTGAAGGAAACAAATAAAAAGAACACAATGAAGAAAACAAATTTCAGAACTAAGTTTGAGATGGTGGAAGTCGTGTGAACAGGGCTTCCAATAAATTCTTGATCTGATTGTTTGATTCCTCTTGTTTTCCAAGCATCCCCTTGATTTCCTTGCACGTATCACCCTTCTTGTCTAGCCTTTCCTTAAACACAACATTCTCTTTCTTCAACTCCTCCAGAGTTTGCAGCACAAGAGATGAATAGGGTATATCAACAGAAGGTATCACCTTTTTAGAGCAAGCTGCGGCTGATTCTGACTCAGGAGCTTCTTCAACTTCTTTGCCTTTGTCTTGAAACCTAACCAAAGACAGAGGGTCAGAGGATGGTTCGTCATATTCTGAAGGCTGATGATCTTCCCAAGGGATATTGTCCAGTAGAAGGAGTGGCTTCTTTTCCCAGTGACGCGTAACTTGATCCTTGAAGGTATTCAGATGATCACTGAAGTTCTGTTGAGCTATTTCATAACTCAACTCCTTGAGTTTCAGGGATTCAGAGTTGAACCATTTTCTGAACTGGTTCCAGTGAGAATCAGAAGCAGCTAGATTGAGATTCTCTAAGCAAGCTAGCTTCAGAGAGTTAACCTATTCCTGTATTTCTATTTCAAAAATCAGCAAAGATTTACCAACATATGCTTTGGAGATTTTTGGTTTTGGTTTTGGTACGACAATTTTCTGAGAGCTTGTGACAAGATTGTCCAAAGCTTCTTAGTCTATAACAGTTCTAAGAGGATCTTCTGGGTGGTTGTTTGGAGAGGGAGAGTCATAAATAATAATGGGTGAATATGGTGAGTTTGGTGGAGTGGATTGATAGGGAGATGGAATATCTGGGATGGAGAGGTTCTGTGAGGAAGTTGAGGGAATTGTGGGTGGTTGAGAGACCATGAGAGGGCAGGTGATTCTAGGAATGTGTGTTGTGGTATCAGAGTCAAAGTTTTGATTTTATGTGTGAGGAGCTTCAAACAGTGGATCAAATTGATCAGTATCAGAAAGAACTTGAGCAAGTTCTGGTTGATTTTGGTCAAGATGGGTAGAAGGTGGATTATTCATAAGGTTGTCTATAGATAGTGAGGTGTTAAAGTCAATGTCAAAGTCATCAAAGGTTTGAGGCGATGGATCTTCTGTGGGTTTTGGAGAAGGAGGGTTTTCAGACGTTGATAACAGTGTTGATTTAATAACAGAAATAAAAGATGGATTACCTTTCTTTTTGGCAGCCTTGGGAGTCTTCTGAGAAGTTCCTTCTCCAGCAGCTTTTCTTTTCCTTGATTTTCTGGGAGCAACTTCCAGAGGTTGTTATCTCAGATCATGGATGTTCACTTCTGGATTTGTCCCGTCCTTCTTGTAAGCATCCAGATACCTGAGAATAATATCTGGAGAAGCATTTGTTTGAGAGAAGAGAGGGAAATCCTTCAAGGAAATGATGTCTACATTTTTCATTCACAAGGTAACCATTAATGATGCTTGTATAGGAAGTTCAAAGTTAAGAAAACTTACCTAAAAACTGGAAACCGTGTTTGAAGTTGGAGCACTCCTAGAGGTGTTGTGATGATCTGGATAGCTTCACTGAACTCCCAAGAAGC